AAAATATATATATATATATAGGACATGTTATATCGGTCCTGTGTGCCAAATTCCATGACAATCGGGTAAAAAGTGCAGAAGTTACAGGTTCTAGAATATTTCGACAAAAATGTTGTTACCATGGCAACGATGACTCCGCCCACACCAAAAACGATAGGCGTCTTCGCTTTACGATAACGCACCTTCATTCGAAATTTGAAGATGATCCGAGAAGAACTGCAGCCGGTAGAGCGTTCACAAGGAAATCTCTACGGCGGCGGCGGCGGCGCGACGATGCCAAACCCATAGTATCCCCACGAACTTCGTTCGGGGGATATAAATATGCAGGCAGCTGTCAATCCGCCTGGTCATCTTTGGTGCGCGCAATGTATACCTACATCGCATCGTACAGTTTTATATACACGTGCGCTGTTCATTATATTTGCGTATTTCTGCAATCAGTCTCCCTCGCGCCCATTATATTCCAGGTACATGTTACTTATCTCAAGAGCAGTTATTCACAACGGCCTCCGGCAACTAGAGATGCTATACAAAGAGAAGATCTGGCGTGAACGACAACTTACTTTAAATTACTATTAGGCCTCAAGAACGAAGTAAAGTAAGAAGTAAATTACGCCTTACGTTTTACTTAAAGCAAGTCTGCCCAAAACCCTCACCGTACCAATCGTATCCCGAACATCATGATCAACGCATAAAACCGTGACGCAAACCAAACGGATAAGTTAAGAACCAATTATTACTAGCACTATAACTAAGTAAATTACAATGTAATATCAATAATACGAACCAGGCACGGAAACTAACACGGGTAAAGACGTACACGCGTTAGTTAAACTATTATTGATATTACATTGTAATTTACAATAATCCGTGAGTACTAGCTGTATATAGAAGGAGTGGCATGATGGGGAGGTAGGACAGGCCTAGCCACCCCCCTACCTGTCGTGAAGAACATCAATAACACATCGGAGAAGAATGATTTCAAGATTGTTCGTGGGAACGCATCTTCAATTATATAATGGCAGACAGTGGGTAAAACCGCTAAAACGTGATTTACGTTACGCATTCTTGCGCTACGAACGTTTTTTTAGGGAACGCATGCATTACTTACGTAAGGCGGAGTATGACTGTATGTGTATTCGTATACGTATGTAAATGTTTACAGTAAGTACAGGAGTTGAAAATGCGCGAGAGAAACAAGGAAATATGGAAAAAGAAGGAGAGCGCAGGCATGAGAGAGCGAGCGGGAGATAAAAGCGGGAAAGGAGACAGGCACCGCGAGAAAGGCAAAGCGAGAGGGGAAGAAAAGGAGCAATGAAGGAAGAGGGAGAGAGAGAGCGAGAAAGCGAAAGACGAGAGAGAGAGAGAGAGAGAGAGAGAGAGAGAGAGAGAGAGAGAGAGAGAGAGAGAGAGAGAGAGAGAGAGAGAGACGAGAGAAACTTTCTTATAAAAAGAGTTCCAAAGAGTTTTTGCCTATATCCTTGATTTACATGTAGAGTGAGTGATGTGGCTAAACATAAACTGTTTACCTCCGACTCATTAGCCTGCTGGTTCGTCGTAACATTTCCTTGGTCTAGTTGGAACAGACGCGGATTTATCATGATCACCTTGTGAGCCAGCTCGAAAAGATATATAATGATCGAGCGATTGAATGACGGATAGAGAGAGATAGAGTTAGATAGATAGATAGATTGATAGATAGATATAGATAGATAGATGATAGATAGATAGATAGATAGATAGATAGTAGATAGATAGATAGAATAGATAGATAGATAGATAGATAGATAGATAGATAGATAGATAGATAGATAGGATGTATGATAGATAGATAGATAGATAGATAGATAAATAAATAGATACGTAAATAGATAAATAGATAGATAGATAGATAGATAGAGAGAGAAATAGCGCGTGAGATAGAGCGCGAGAGAGATGAGATCGAGAAATAGAGGCAGATAAAGAGTGAGAGCATCATGAGGGGGTGTGAGAGAGTGGTGAGAGCGAGCGAGCGAGTGAGAGAGAGTGCCAGAGAGAGGAGTTTGAGGGTGAAAGAGAGAGAGAGAGAGAGAGAGAGAGAAAGGAGTGCGAAGATGAGGAAGGGAGAGGACGAGCGAGAGAGACAGGGATGGAGGAGAGAGAGAGAGAGAGAAGAGAGATAGAGAGAGAGAGAGAGAGAGAGGAGAGAGAGAGAGAGCAGAGCGAGAGGCGTGCGTGTGAGAGAGGGGGGGGGTATTATGAGAACTCTGCAGAGAGAGGGGGGAGAGAGAGCTCGCGCAGATGGGATTATATGCTCAGAGACCCATCTGAATGAGTGAGTGGTAGCGGGATACTGTGGTTATTCACACGCATTGCCTAAATATTCGTCTAGGGGACTGGCAAGGAAGCAGACGAACAGCCCGCAGTGGTAGAGATACCCGACGATCTGCACAGACCAGCTGCGCTCACATCTGTACACAAAGCCCGTCCGAAAGGACCGAAAGGGCGCCGCCTACCGGAGAGATACTCCCGCATTGGAGGCAGTCGCGATGAGGTGAGGGCACGAACTCTCTGCAAAGTTTTCGCGGGTAACTGAGCGCTTTATTTCCCGGGCAACGCCGGGTGTCCTGCTAGTACCCGATAACCAGCGTATTGCAACCCCAGAACGACAACACGTATAAAACGTGAAAGACACGAGCGTTCCCTCGTTTATAGGTGAGCGACCAATTAATAAGAATATGTAGAAACAACTGAGCCTGTAATAGTGCAGAGCACGTGAGGACGCCTCCCGCTTCTCTTTCTTCTCGTGCGCTGATGGTAACCGTCTATATGTTATACAGTTGAACGACTCGTCGCTCCTCGGCAGCCAGGATAGCATCGATGAGCTAAGCGGCGAAGGAGACGACGACGACGACACTTCTCCCGCCACACATTCTGCATCTCTCACCAATCTCATTGGTACGTCTGCTACGTCCTCATTGACAGAGCTTGGCCGAGCGCTTACCGAGTGTTTATACAACACGATAGTCGCTGCTTCCTTCGACACCTTGTTGTTATTGCGAGTGTCTGTTTAACATGGGAATGACTCGTGAATTATAATGTTTATATATATGTTTATATAATTAAAACACTCGCACGGCATAGTGTAAGTGTCCTTGCGTCGATTGTGTCATTTAAGTATGTAAGCACCGTGGTAGTGTTTTTTTTTGTGGTAGACGCTTTACCAAGCGCTAGAACTGGTGTATCCATGGTGTATCACAGAAAGTATTCAGTCTCACGTGGGATGGGTAGTTATTAGAACTGATGGATGCACAAAAGGATGTGCAACATCCGCTACCCGCTCCGATGTGACTGTACAATGTCGGCCATTTCATTCATAGCATATGGTTCGTACGTACACCCACGAAACGCACTTAACACGCACTTCGACGACGCCGTGTAAAATTCCGAGTTATAATTGTTATTTATTACGGATGCCGGTTTATTGCACATATATAGATACTAGTACCGCGGCCGGTGAAGCCGGTATACGTCATTCCAATCTCGAACAAGATGGCGCCAACACAGACACAGACACGGTTGACCTTGATGAGATGAAGGACGCCGTACCTGGGTAAGCGGACAGTCGTCAACCGACCGCACGTGATAATCTCTCCTTTCTGGCCTCGCGTGCAGTATCAAGGCTTCGAACGCCGAGTTACTTTGATTACTACGAATTACTTACTACTTACGTCGTGAGTTTGTTGCCATTGCCACATTGATGCAATGATGAAGGGACGGCATGTCAAACATTTTGTGTTTTAAATGTTAGAAATGGCCTCAATATATTACATCGACGAGATAGAGACATTGTCTTATCACCTTATCAGGAGTGAATCAAAGTTTTTATTATTGTTTCCTAATTGTTATAATAACTGCATTTATTTCCTTCTGAAGTCATTATATCAGGAGTGAATAATAGAGATCTCTATTGTTCACTCCTGGTTATATGTGTATGATGACTGAGTGGCCAAATATATAGTAATGGTAACTGAGCGGCCATGTATGAACATGATTTTGCCAGTCGCAATTGTATATCTATCTGCGTTGTTACTATACATATACTACCAGTGTTCTATATATATATATAATATATATATATATATATATACCTATGAGTGTGTGTGTGTGCGTGCGTGCGTGCGTGCGTGCGTGCGTGCGTGTGGGTGTACTTGTATACTACCGGTGCGCTACACACCGTGCACGCTAACTCTACTGTAGTTGTTGCATTCTGTAGGAAAAAGGTCGCCCTGAAGCCGCCGCAGAAAAAAATTAAAAAAATCAGCTTCGACATCGTACCGAGCGAGATCCCAGCACAGGAATACCAGACGTCGAGCAGCGACGAGACGCTGGATGACGCAGCGCCACCTACTGGCAACACACGCACCATAGAAGCAGAGATTCACAAGGACGGAGCGACGTCTGCTGCCGACGGCGTCGTCTTCATTACCGACGATGCCGACGACGACGACAGCGTCGGAAAACAGGCGACGAAACCCAACATAACAGAAAGTGCAGATCTAGACAGATCGACCGATACTAACAAAACAGAAAGTGCAGATCTAGACAGATCGACCGATCCTAACAAAACGGAAAGTGCAGATCTAGACAGATCGACGAATGAGACTTCCGATCAAGACGTCGCGCCGCAAACAAGGAGTTCTCTTCTCGTCGCCATTCAGATTGAAATAGCCGACGACGCGTGGCAGACGGAAGGCGCAGCAGACGACAGCGACGCGAACGCGAACATGGCCGACGTTGCAAAAATGGCAGAGGCGAAAGAAATGAAGGAGGCGACGGAAGTGACGCGACAGGACGAAGTGACACCGAACGCGAACGAAGATGACGTAGATGCGACCATCACGCGCAGCGACCCACACACAGTCGACAGTTCTGACGGCTCCTTCGACAATGTCCCGCTAGATGTCGCACCGACCGCGGAGCAGCCGAGCGACGGTGGCGCTGTGGTGAGTGTCGAGAAGCCAGAGTGCGTCGGCACTCCGACAGCGGGCAACGACGTGCTTCTGGGGGCGCTGAATGACAAGCTGCAGGAACTGAACGAGGGAATCGAGGTGGTGAGAACTGGCATGACGCGACTGAACCGTGGCATGGACGACCTTGCGATAGATAAGCAGAAGTGTGTCGATCGCATCAGCGAGCTGGACGAGTGGAAAAACGTGAGCGCGCGCGCGTTTGCTTTCGTGCGACTGTATATCATTTCATTTGTTGTCATTTCATTTCTCGATCAATTTTTCCATGTTGCTCTTGCTTTCACATCCACATTTCACTCTATTGTTTCTCTCACTCATGCATGCACACGCGCACGCGCACGCACGCACACACGCGCGCGCACACGCTTTCTCTCTCTTTCTATCTCTATCTCTCTTGCTCCCACTCTCTGTTTCCCACCATCCACTCTCCTGCATATCTATCTAGCTAGCTAGCAATCGCCTTCATTTATTTATTTACATCAAGCTATGCACACGTCCGTTACGCGACATTCTCTCTGCATCAACACAAGGATCTAATCTGGCTCTCCTTGCAGGTCGTGCAAGGCTTGTGTGGGAAAGCTGATGAACTGGTCGTCGAGGCTGAGAAGTTTCGAGATGACTGCAATCACTTGCTGACCAACAGCTGATTGCACCAGTGCGGACTTCCTGCTGTGCCTCCGTCGCACGCGTACCGCCGACCAACACGACGTCAGCTTGACCAACACCTTGTGACCAACACGACGTCAGTCTATCGCAGACTGATCCCACGTCGGCAACATGGCGGCCAGGCTGAGAGGGTCTATATGTCCCCCGGCCTGGGTACTGCCGGAACGTACCCTGGGTACGGTCCGGCATACCGGAACGTATGAGGGGGAGAAGCTAGTGGAGAAGGAGGGGAGAAGCTGGTGAGAAGGAGAGGGGAAGAAGGGAAAACGGATGGTGGAGAAGAGGAGGGGAGAAGCTGGTGGAGAGGAAGGGAGAAGCTGTGGAGAAAAATGAAGAAGGAAAAGGGAGAATTAAGGCTGGTGGAGAAGGAAGCGAGGTGTGGAGAAGGTGGTGGTGAAGGTGGTGGAGAAAGGTAGAAGTGGTGGCCATGGCGAGAAGGCACCTCCCTGCCAACTTTCATCCACCACCATTCTCTCCCTTCTCCCGCTCCTCCTTCCTCCACTCAGCTTCTCCCTCCTTCTCCAACACACATTACCTCCTGATTGGTTATATAACACAAAACCACGTAAATAAAATATGCAAATTATCTCGCTTGTACCAGGCCTGAATATAGACAAATCGCCCACACGCCAATCGCCTTCGCGCCAAATAACATGAAACAATCAATCGCGCCGTCACATCATCGACACCGCTGCTTTATGGTGTGTATCTGTTTCATAATTCCTCGATTCAAATTTTCATTCGATGGCGTGAATTGAATGATCGATGCCATCATATCGATGCCGTTGAATGCGAAAATATTCGATTGCATCATTCGATCACGGATGCGAATCATTCGACTTCAGCGCATCGAATCATTACGATCTCACGCATCGAATCATTCGATTCACGCATCGAATCATTCGATTCACGCATCCGAAAGATGATTTCGAATTAACGCATCCGAATGATTCGACTGCATCAATTCAGATGCATGAATCGAATCATTCAGACATGCATCTCAAATCGAAGATGGATTTGATCGCGTGAATCGAAGACATGATTCGATGGCTCTGAATCGATGATTCGATGCGTGAATCGAATGATTCGATTGGGATCGAATGAATCGACATGGCCTCCGAATATGTCGATTCGCGCATCGAATCATTCGATTCACGCCATCGAATGATGCGATCGAATCCATTCGATTCGTGAATCGAATGATTCGATGCGTGAATCGAATGATTTCGATGCGTGCGAATGCGAATGATTCGATGCGCTGAATCGAATCATTCATATGCGTGAATCGAATGATGCATCGAATCAATTCGATTCACGCATCGAATGATTCGGATCCTGAAATTTATACCTTGCCACGTTTTCCGAATCTAGCGCATCTATCAACAACTTTACAATACACAAACCTATATCAAAAAAATAATAATTTACAATCTATTCTTAGTATTTTGAGTAGGGAATGGATTGTAGAGGATGGCGCCGAGAAGACGGAGGAGGTAGAGGAGAGTGGGAGAATGTGGAGGAATAGACTGTATTGTATAATGTTGTCTGATAGATGGCTCTAGATTCGGAAACGTGGCAAGGTATAAATTTCAGGATCGAATCATTCGATGGCGTGAATCGAATGATTCGATGCATCATTCGAGTCACAGCATTGAATGATTCGATTCACGCATCGAATCATTCGAGTTTCACGCATCGAGAGATCATTTCGATTCAAACACGCATCCGAAAATCCATCGAA